CGTGCCGACCACACAAGTTTTAATAATTTGAATTGATTTGGTTACACTTTAGATGAGATACAACCCAACTTAAAAAGTAGGGAACAATTCAGAAAAACCATTAAATAATTTACTAATACATATAAATTTTTTATTTTAGTTATTTTAAATGAAATTTTGTAACACAACGTGTTACATGTTGTATAATTATGTTTCATAATGTGTTAAATCTTGGAAATAACATCATTCTCATCATCACTTGTAACAACGTGTTACACATATTTTGCAGCCTATTTCCATTTTTTAACGTCACACCCACAAAAAAATGTCTTACGTCTTCAATCTATTCTCGCAAAAAAATAAAAAAAAAAAGAACGAGAGATTCCAAATTTCGAGAAAAAGATTTGTAGAGGTTTAAATTTAACGTTTTTAGATCTAAAATTCAAATACGATGGCTTAGGAGATGGCAATCGGAGTTGGTGGTTGTCGTGCCGGATTGGGATGGATTTTTCATGGGGTCGGCGGCAATAGCAACAACAATTGAGTTAGACAAACAATAAATTGGGAATTTATAGAAGTAATAATAATGTGGGAATTAAATTCTATTCCTAAAAGGGTATTATCATGTCACTCTTGAAAAGAATTTAGTAACTTAGAGCTTAGTCCAATCCATTAGTGTAATTGGACCAAGTCCACATATAAGTCTATCAAAAATTAAAATAGTGAAAATTACACCTCACCCTATCTTTGGATATATGAATTCTAAAATCAGGTGAGATATTTTTTCTTTCAAAAATCAGAAATTTTATTTTAATTAATATTTTTCGCAATTTTATCCCACCAAACCCTAATTACCGTCACTTTTTCCTCTCCATCTCCCTTCCTCTCTTTCTTTCTCGACCTTCCCCACCTCATTTCCCCCTCCATCTCTCCCCTCCCCTCATCTCCTCTCTCTGTGAACGTCGACGCAGCGATGATGTAACTTTCCTTCGTCTCTGCCGACGATGTAACTTTCCTCCATTGAAGCGACGTCGCAGCCGCCCTCACATCACTACGAGACCACCACTTCTCTCATCGCCTTCTTCTTCTTCTTCTTTTAAGGTGGCTGTGAAATGATGAGGGTTTGATGTGGGTCTTAGTGGCTGAGAGATGGCGAATGACAGTAAGAGATCGAAAAAGATGGCAGTAGAGTGAAAGGGACAGTGTGTTGTGGTCTGGTTTGGTTTTGGTGGAGGCTATTAGTGGTTTGTTCGTTGATTTGGAGCCGTGAAATGATGGGGGTTTGATGTGGGTCTTAATGGCTGGGAGATGTGGGTCTTAGTGGTTTGTTCGCGCTGCTGCCGGCGTCAGAGATGGGTGAATCGTCGGCCAGAAAGAGTGATGCATCACCGACGAGATTTCTACCTGTTTTGGTGGTGGTTGATGGTGGCAGATCTGATGGTTGAGGCCAGTGTGAAGTGGTTTTTGTGGTTTGAGTTTCTCTGTTGGCGGTGCGGTGCTCGTCGCGATGGTGGTTGTGATGTCGATGGTGGTGGCAGCGTTACTGGTTGTGGTTGGCGGTGGTTGGTGCTTTAGTGCGGGATGGGGTGCTGTTGGTGTTGTAGTGATGGTTTTAGTTTTTGTTTCCGATTGTGGTTTTCTGATCGTAAGGTGGTGGCGGTGTGGCGGCAAGGTGGTTCTGGATTTTTAGTTTTTGTTTTTGTTTGTGGTTTTCAGATCGTGACGTAGTGGTGACGTGGCGAAGACTAGCTGTGACCGCATAATGGACTATCTGTGACCTTAAAATTCGACAATTTGTGACTAAAAATTAATTTGTGACCTGTAATTTTTTGATCTGTGACCTCGAAATAATTCGCGACCTCCAAAAAATTTGATCTGTGACTTATAAACAAATTATGACTTATAAAATTTTTGAACTGTGACCTCGAAATAATTCGAGACGTATAAAATTTTTGATCTGTGATCTCGAAATAATTCGTGACCTATAAAAAATTTTATTTGTGACCTCAAAAATAATCCGTGACCAATTAATTATGTATATGTGACCATTAATTGTATAATTATGACATCATTATAATTAATTAAATCATAATAAATTTTAATAAAAATCTGATTTTTGAAATTTCAAACTTGTTTTCTTAATTTTGAAATAGGGGATACTTATCCTCTTATAAATTTTTCCCTGTAAAATAAGTGGTTAAGCCGATGAAAATTATCCCTTATTGATCAGCTTAATACAAACATAAATAGCTAAGGAGTGACAACTATTTTTACTTTCAAAATTAGTTGAAAACGAACTTGTTAGAAAAGATGATTTTTCCATTTGTACAGGAAATAGTTAACAGAAGAGGTTGACAACCTCTCACATGCGCACGGGCCCCGCATGAATAAAAAATTCCAAAAAAAAGTAGGCCCCTCATTGTGAGTGTTCGATCAACCTCTTCTGTCAATCGTTTCTATACAAATAACATGGTTATAGAAAAGATGTGAGGCTCTAGTACTATTTCTTTCCATATAAATTATGAATTATCGTTGCTCGATCATTCTTCGTTATTAGAATATTACGAACAATTTTTTTATCTTTTTATCTTTTTTACTATTCCATATGGTTTAACTTTTATGGATCAAATAGGACGTTTCTTACCTTGATAAATAAGTAGTTCATGTCTATCCTAAAATTTGGACAAAGCTGCAATGCAGGACAATTATGTGGATGTACTAGTGTATTAACTTTATTTGTGCAATGTGCAATGATTCCGTTCAATTTCTCTATCTCACTTGCAATTTATTATGACATGGATACACCACCACAACCAATGGGCGGGGTTTGAGTGGGTTAGGTGTTGGATGGTTGTATGGATCAGGGGAAGATAAATATTTTTGTCAACTCGTAGATTTTTGGAGTCTGTAGTATCATAAAAAATATTAAATGGACATTTTAACTTATATATTGTAACTAAAGCACGGTTGGTGAATCCCAACAACACAAGACATGGTCATGATAATCATCGACAAATGTATTGTCAATATTCAGTTTGAATTATCAACGTGTATGATGGAATCAGAAACAACCAATATTCATACCTTTGATGATTATCGATGCTGATCCAAATAACATCATTGATGACATTGCCATCGATAATCCCTGATGGAGGTATATAGATGATTACTAATGATATTATTACTGATAATTCTACCTATACGATCAACATATATTTATTGCAATAAGGAATCACCAAATGCTATGACAATCCCTATACCTCACATAATGTTGAAAGCCATTACATTTGATCGCAATTTTCTTTTAAAAGTATCACATTTCATCGGGAAAGTGATCATATCTTTAATACCAGGAGCCTCTATCAAAGAGGTTCCATATCTAAAACTCAAGCTCTAAAAGGCTTTAAAGGCAAATAAATTGTATAGTTTTTAGGTAGAAGTTAACGGTCGATTACAGTCAATTTTTGATACAGAAAAAATAGCACGCTACGACATTCTTTATATCATGAAAAAATACTATGCTGACATAATACAAATGCAAATAAAGATATACACCAATTTGTATACTCTTATTCATCCGACCTCATGTTCCAATATATAGAGCACACTTTTTACTCAAATTTTATTTTAATGGAGTCGTTATAGGCTTTGACGCAGGGTTTACTCGGAAGAGTTAAATTCAAGGAAATACGGATGGTCACCCCAAATCTCTAATCTTTTATGCCTGGATTATTCTTTTTTTTCGATTTTTCATTTTATTTTTTTAACATATTTCTCTCTCCTCTCCTCCTTATTTATAAATAGACCCCTCCCCTCTGCTAACAATTTTCTCTTCCCTTTTGGGGGTTTCTTGAGAGGCGGCCTCATATCAAATATTGAAAAATCTTTTCAGGATCTGAGGAAGAAAACTAAAAACACTTTCACTCAGAAAAACCCACTTACAAATAGATGCTATTTATATATATATAAACAGTTTACAGAGGTATAGAAAGAGAGGTTTCTTTTAAATTTCTCTTGTTTTCTGTTCTTTCTTGATGATCTCCTCTGTTTATTTTGCAATGTATCTGTTTATTCTGCAAAGCAAGTCTTAATGAATTTTGGAAATTTGGTTTCTTGAAGTTTTTTGGATTTAGTAATCAACTTAGTATTTATCTCGCCATCGAGAAGTGGGTTTTTTTCTTGCCTTTTTTGCTCTCTCTCTCTGTTGCTAAATATTTGAATTGGTTTTCGAGAAGGGTTTAGATATTCTGTTTATTGGATTTAATGGATTAAATCAAGTGTGTGTTATTTTTTTTGTTACTGTATTACATGATTTTCTGGGATTTGATCTGCTGGAACGAAGCCTTATTGTCATTTTTAAAATCTTAAGGTTGTGGGCAGAGTGATAGACAAATTAAATTTGATTCCTGAATACTGGAAAGATAAAATCTAATTTGGCAGTTCGGATTTAAATCTTGTTTTGGTTGATTCCTCTTAAAGACTCTGTCTAAGATTTGTACTGGTAGCATTAAGGGTCACTATGCATTTACTTTTTTGAGGATTATGGTGTTTGTTATGCATCCCAGTTTTCTGGTTTTGATACTTAAAACTAGTTAGCAAAAGGCCCTGATTTTGTTTTTGGATGATGGGCAGGTCTGTGATACCTATATTGATAGAGGATCAAATAGCCGTGGGCGATCTTCATTAATTAATACCTTCAGGTTGAGGCGAATTAATTACTGCCCCCCAGAGTTATTGCAGTTCAACACAGCAGTAACTTAGAATCTATATCGATATATACACATTTTTTTATTTTAATTTCCAGTCAAGCTGACAGAAGATCTACTTGCTGATTTTCGGAACTTTAATGGTGTGGAACTGATGGCTTAATGCTGGGGCTAGAAATGAGTGCAAGAATATGGTGCATGGGCTGGTGAAGTGTTTCTGGTCGGTTCCTGAATTGGGACATTCCGGCCAGAACCTAGGGGAAGCTTTACATTCGGTGGAAAGTTCTCGAATTGGGCTTAATTTGACTACGTGCAATGTCTCGCTGCTTCCCATTTCCACCGCCTGGATATGAGAAAAAGGCTAGACCGAATGATGTCAACTTGATAATAAAGGTTGAAACTTTATGCATGATCTTATCAATTTTCAGCCGTATCTATACGTCTTTACTTCTATTCAGAGTTGCATAATGGTTTATAAAAAACGTAAAATTCTTGGGAAGTTCTGCCTAGGTTTTGTAATTGATTCGGTAAACCTATGATGACGACAAGAAGCTTGTGTAATATTTGGGGGTTAGGGTGCTGAAATTTTGGGCACACTGCATTTAAGTTATTATGTTTCACAAACTGAAAGGTCCCTGGATTACTAGGTAGATCACCTCCTGCTGAATGTGTGATGACCTTTGACTTTTGTGATTATGTAGAGTATCTGACCACCGATTACACTCTGTAGGAAATTTAGCAAATAAAATTTCCATGCATCGTAATTTACTGAAACTACGAGTGGAATGTGAATTTTATCGAATGATATTGAAAACATTAATATATTTATTAGGAAATAGAAAATTTAGTTATGATGACTTTTTTTCATGCTCATGCTAATAAGGAAAACTCTGTAAATTTTCTCATCCGGAAAAATTAGGGAACTCTGTAGATCATCTTTAATGATTGTCTTTGTTAAAGAACTGTTGCATAAGATGTAAAGGGATTCACTAACATTATCTCGAAGTACACATATTTTTTAATATGCGCTTGGTTTTTTTTAGGATTGTTTCCTCGGTTTCTTATGTTTCTATTCTTGAATCAACTATCTTAATTCATTGCACCGTTTATGTGATGATCTGCCGACGTCATAGCTTCCTAGAAAATTGTTTCTTTAATTGTTGCTTGTTTCTTGTCGTAAACTTGGACAATCTATTGGTGAAACCATAAAAGATTTTCTATTATTGGCCGCCATATTACATAATACATGTTATGAATCTTGATTAGCGAAAATATGTGTAGTTAAATAATGTATTCTTCGTAGCCATATTACATACTCAGGTCTTTAGCTCCTTATCTTGATTGCAAATATTTGTGATACTGCATGTTTTTAATTCCTTGTCTTCCACTGTCAAATGACCCTAAGGATGAGTTGATCGAGGCCACCGATTACCTTTCCTAACATACAAATAAAGCATGCCCATTAAGAAAGCAAACAAGATGGGTACAAAACAGTAGTTACACCACAAAAGCCATGGCCATAGGCTTCAATTAACATGAAAAGCTTTTTTTTTTATAAGTAATCATGTAATTTTATAAATCTAAAGATAATACACAAGAAGTGCATTATCAATTTAAACAAGATAGGAACAACAAGAAATTTGGCAACCCTTCTACCGGACTAATAGTTGCAGCCTTAAACCAACTATACAAAGTGAAGTAAAACAATTCTCTAAACTGTTCTGGCGTCCGTGTTACATTTTCAAAGCATCGACTGTTTCTTTCTCTCCACACACACCAAACAAGGCATCCTGGAATGAGATCCCAAGCAATCTTGCTATTCTTGTCTCGAAACTTTCTCTTCCATGCCCATACCACCTCCCCAATATGCCTTGGAAACACCCAACTCATCTGTTGTGAAGCCAAAATATCGTTCCACAACCAACAAACACCTATACAAAGAATGAATAGATGGTCGATCTCTTCTCCATACATCTTACACAAATANTCCAGGGGAAAGAACTCTCCACAGGTTCCAATAAAGATCTGAAATAAGTGCGAACAGAGAACATACCATTTCGTGCCCCCCTCCACCTACTACGGTCATCCTCTTCTACCTTGAGGTGCAATTCATACAAAGAAGCCAAAAACAATGCATAGTCATCCAATTCCCAATCATGTAAATCCCTCTCGAAAGCAATGTTCCAGCTAGGACTCCCAAAATGTCCAATTAGAGAATTAAGATACATGCCAAATAATCCTAGAAATTGAAACCTCCTGTATAAGCAATCCTCAGCTCGAACTTAAATAGAAATTATATACTCATTTTTCCATAAGAGACGCAAGAATGACAATTAAGGCAATAAGTAACACTACAACTTCCTTAGCATGCTTGTATAAATATTGAACCTCATTATCAAGACAACCATTTTTAAGTTTCATTATCTCAAACGAATTCATATATCTTCTGAGAAATTGATAGTTTGACTATTTTTCTTTTCACAATCTGACCGTTATAATGGGTCAAAAGGAGGATATGGATATTTATTGATTATTTCTGTATGCAGTCATTGTAGATAGTTTAGAATTAATGTAATCTATAGTGGTTGCCATATTTTGATGACATAAACATTCTAACAGTAATGAGCTTGTACACTATCATAGTTGGGGAACAAAGGCTGTTAACATAAGCTATATGGGCATGGTAGTTATTTATGTCTGTATTGGTTGACAATGACATGAGAAGTTCGATAATTTTGGTGGATGTAAACTAGATGTTGTGTGATTGATTCAATTCCCATTTAGATGACATAAGGGATTGCATCTTCTCTTTCCTAAAAATGTCTGATGTAGATGAATGATATGCCCTAAAGTAATGCTGCAGTTGCATGGCTGTAATCTCTATATGAAACTAGAAATTTTGTTCATCAGGACAAAATAAAATGGTCTTATTTCTCATTTTCTCTTAATCATTATGAAGTAATGCTGTTTGACATCTCAAGCATCTAAAAGTTTCGTGGGTGCATAACACTGGGCTTGCCCCTGATTTCACGGACGCTGTTTTCAATTTACAGCAATGTTTTAGCTAATAATAATTGCTGTAGGGTAAAGCAAGATATTTGAGCTACTTTACTGAGGTTTCCTCATTTCTCCAAGTTTTTAATAGTACTGATTTCATTTTTGTTGTGTACTTCCGAATTTTCCCTGAAGTTTTGAGTATGTGTTTGGTAAACAGTATTAATCAAACTAGACACTAAAATAAACAACATTTTAACTACTTATTTAGCCCATGTTTGGCCACCATTTTCTAAAACTCATTTTCAACCACACATTTCATCAACTTTTATCAGAATCTACTAAAAATATGATTTAGCTAAACCAAACAGGGGCTTAATCTTGTCTGCCACTGTTTAGTCCACCTTACCAAAAGGAGAAGGAAATATTGGACTTGATCCTTTTGCTGTATCAAGAGACAAGATTCTATAATTATTGCCAATATTCAAAAGTTTCTTATTTGGACATTCTGTCCTGTCCTCTAACTTTGAAGTAATATTATCGTTCATTGTTGAGCTGCTGCCAATATAATACATTCTGGAGTTTCTTTTTGGTCGTTTTGATGTATAATGACAGTGAAACTATTTCAGGAGAAGCAAAAAGAGAAAAAACATAAGAGGGATAAAGACAAGAAAGAAAGAAGTGAGAGGAAGGAAAAGGGGAGGAGTGAAGATAAACGCCGAGAAAAGAAAGAACGAAAGCAAAAGCAGCACGGAGACAGGAAGGATAAGGAGAAACATAAAGATAAATATAGGACTTCAGAAGAGAATCAAAATGGAGAGAAGCTTGGTCCAATTTGTGAACTGGGTAATACAATTCCAAATTCAAAATCTTTTGTTGAATTGCAAGTTGAAAATGACTGTGGAGCGACAGACAGTCAAATGGTTGGGGAAATCGTTCACTCAGATCAAAAAAGTGCCAAGTTGCCGGAGAGGGTGGAAGAGAGCGATAAGAGAGAGTATGCGAGGATGGTTAATGGAGAAAGTCTTGAAATTAATGCCATGGGTTTGGAAAATGGTAGGGTTTCAATTTTTTCTGGAGAAAATCGAAAAAAGGTTGAACGAAGTCGCCAGTTGGAGAAAGGAAAGGGAGAAAAAGAAAAGAAAAAGCACAAGGCTAGCGATGGTAAAAGAGATGGGCATAAGAATATAGAACGAGACAAAAAAAGTAAATCGAAGGACAAAGTCGGGGAAAAGGAGAAGGAAAAGGAAAAGGAGAAGGTGAAGGTGAAGGAGAGAAGTAAAGAACTGAGTAAACAAAGAGAAAGCAATTGTAATCTACTAGATGTTCATAACAAGCCATCAGACCTTTTGAAGGAGAGTGGCAGCCAGGGAAGTCTTGGAAAACGGAAGGAGCCTGAATTAAATGGATTTTCACACTGTGAGTTGTTTCCAATGTTATCACTTTGCTTTGTATTTTCAACTATATATGGAAAGAGAATCATCCGTGCCTTACTAACAGGTTAAAAAAACTGGCGTAACTAACTATTAGCAAAATTTCATCTTGGTAACTCAACTTTATTTTTCCGAGTTGGTTGGTATGTTTCAAGTTAGTCATTAAACTTTGTTCAATTTGGTCATTCCTTCCATGTTTGATAGTTTGACTAATAGAAAAGTTGAAGTGGCAGTCTATATTGTCATGTCACATTGTCCGTTAGTCAAACTAATGGATACAGATAGAGTGACCGACTTTGACCAATTTGGAACAAAATGAAGTTTAGTGACTAACATGAAAAAGTTAATTGACCATATTTATCCCTGTCATCATCTTCGGGCGGGCTTACTACTTAGATGCTTTTAGCAGTTATTCGCACCACATTTGGCTGCCCAGCGATTTACCGTGGGCATGATTACTGATGATCGATGACTTAGTGATCAATTTCTTGAATTGACATATTCTTAATTTGGCCTTTCATCTTGGGTATTTTTAGGATGGAGTTTTTGGTTGTAGAATGATTATATTTTAATCTGCTAATATTATGAGACATATTTTTTTGCTACAGACAATGGAATCCCGCTTAATAAACTGCCCAGTGCTATCTCTTTCTCTCATCAAGTCATACAAAATGGAATCAGCATAAATTCTTCACAAAATACTGCTAACTTGGCTGTGGAGAAAGCGGGATTCCAAAATCATGCTGTCAATATTAATAACTTACCCTCTCTATCAGTTGGAAATGGAATGAAGCTTGAACATGGTCAAACTGCAAATCATTTCTCTGCCGAGAAGCGGGCAGCCACTAGTAATTATGTGGTTAATAACAGCCTCGTCTTCTCACACCCTGTTTCGGGAATTAGCAAAAAGACCGAACCTTGTCGAACTGCAAGTAAGGTAGAAAATTTGCGGCAGGGGCTGGTCAATACCCACAAGGCCCAAGACAAGGTTTCAACCTCAATTCTAAATGCAGAAAGTGGAAGAACGGAAATCATTCAACCGAACATCCACATGGCACAAGAGTCTCAGGGGGTAATTATCAAGCATAAGATGGATAACAAAGATTCCCGAGTGAATGGCATAATAGAGACTGAACAATACGCTTCTTCAAGCACTCCATCTGCTTCTTTGAAAGTTAAGGAGAATAGTTTGAAACTTGCCCATCCCTATTCCAAAAATTTGAGCCAGATACTCAAAAGTAAAGATTCCCAGGTGAATGGCTTGATAGAACCTAAACAATATGCTTCTTCAAGCACTCCATCTGCTTCTCTGAAAGTTAAGGAGTATACCGGGAAACCTCCCCATCCCGATTCCAAATATTTGAGCCAGATACTCACTGTACCTAATGTAGAATGGCCTGACTTTGATGATCAGGAGTGGCTTTTTGGTAGCGAGGGTTCTAGGGCAAAGATGCCAAAAATTGCTTCCAATCACATTGAGGGGATGAAGGTATGGGCAGAAGCAATGCCTGTCAAGTCTGCTGATGTTATTGCTCTGCCATATGTCATTCCATACTAGTTGGAATCTGCATTGTTTTCTAGACTGGTCTTTGGGTCATGGATTCATATAATCAAGTTTGGTGTTACTGTCAGTTCTCCTGGTCAGCTCGAGATGGTCTTCTGATTGTTGCTGCAGTGAAGAACAGATTATAGGGCAGAGACAGGTAGAACAAGTCGAACAAAAACTTTTCTCATGGTCTACGTCTCTGAGAGATGATAAAGATCCTCGTCTGGGATGAAGTGGTAAATTTCAACTTTGCATGATCATTCGGTATGTTTTTGCAAGTTCTTGGTCGGAAAAAAGTCACTGTTTCTTGATGTTGTCAATTTTGTTCCATTCAAAAGGCATCATCAGGAGCAACAGAGGTCATTTCAACATCTAAATCATTTTGGATAATGGCTGTTGAAATACCTTGTTAGACTTAAACGGACAGATGGGGTCTATGGACCAATTATGGGGATTCAAGCAGAGGATTTTTGTGGTGGTGTTTTATACTACATTACAATTTTGATGTGTAAAATACAGGAATTGTTACCCGCATAAAATATATCATCTGTAGTGGGAACAGAAAAGACAGTATTACAGTGTAATTGACTAATTGTTACAATGATTTAACTCTTTTGCAGTTTCTTTTCTTTAACGGAAAACAAAAAAAAAATTTGGTCCAAAATTTTTACTCTATAAAACTGGCCAAAAATGATTCACCTCTAATCTTATATCTCCCTTTGTTTAGAACTATTTGATGCTTGCGGAATCCAGTGTCAAGTGAGGCTAACATAAAACGCCTTAAATGCCAATTGATAGTCTCACACTTCAATATTTGTTGAGGCCTATGCCTTGACTCTAGTGAAATTTGGGAGATGCTACGTGTACATAATGGTGTACACATGGCTTTACACCCCCCTCACATGAAGGGGGTACCCGTCACATGGAGGGGGGTCCACACACAATAAAATATTCGTGGACCCCCTCCATGTGAGGAGGGTGTAAAGCCGTATGTATACCATGAGGTGTACACATAAAATTTTTTGTGAAATTTACTCCTCAAAACAGCTAAGATGTTCGCTCGTTTGTCTTGTATTTTTAAAACAATTAATTATTAGTCTTTGCTTGTTTTAGTTATTTCTTTATAATCTAAAATGTTTCTTAGGTTATTTTATTTATTTTTCTTTACCTACATAAAGTAAAATGGGCAAAGATATTCGTACATAATTTAATGTGCCGAATTGTTTACCCCCTCTCACATGCACGTGGGCCACGCGTGAATAAAAAAATCTCAAGATGTGGTCTCCACCCCCATATTGTGAGTAGTCGGTAAGGAATTAGATGAAAAAATTCAGTACATATAGCATGGTCCAAGTAAAATGGAAAGGAGAGAATACTCCATTGCAATTGAAAAGATGATGGCAAAGAATGAAAGGAAACTTATAAAATGGATTTTGATGTTAATGATTCCCTTAAAAGATAAAATTAGTAGTGATGATATAAGAACTTCTACTGCATTTGGAGGGGTCGGACACACAGCAAAAAGAACTTCAATTGCCACATGAACTTAAGAGAGACCATAAAGAAAACCAGAGAGATTTGATAGGCTGGCGTAATTAACACATACGTTCAAATGAAACCTATTTTCTGATTGTGTACCCACTTGCTGACTAGCTTCCTTGAGTCAATCTTGTCACGGATAAAATACAAGATTTTAACTTTGTTTTCCAATATTCTCTATCTTAGTCTATCAAACATTCCACATAAATCCAATACATCCTTCCATTATTTTGCTAGCTTGCTCGTGGCTGCATTAACTCTGTCTTCTGTAATCTGTTTGTGGTTGTCGTAGAAATCCAATATCTCCATTGCAATATTTTTTACCTGTTAGATAGACAAAATAAAGCACGCCATTCAGGTACTATGTTACAAATATACCAAAAGTAATGCATCTAAATTGGTACTTAAATTGCATTATTCACCCAAGCATAGGAATGAGGGAACGTGCAAGACATGATGGTCAAATTAATTTCAGTAAGCCAAATTGAATTTTCCGATTTTTCAACAAAGACAAAATTCACTTGCAATCAGAGGGTGTTCTTCAACGTAGGGAATAAAAATGCTATGGGACAAATATGGATGAACCACTGACAAATGATCACAAGTTTTTTTGATATTCTTTGTTGTATAAATCGACTCCAGAAACTGATGATATGTGACTGCAAAAGTATTCTTAGTATGGTTCATTAAGAACTAAAATTTGAAGATCTAGTGCTCGGGACCTTAAAAAACTCTACTTAGACGACTTACCACATTCATATCCACTCGAAGCTCTTCAAACCAGGCTGTATTTTCTTTATCTTTTAGCACGCTAGCAATGTATATGCAAGCCAATGTAATCAAGTGAGGAGGATGCATAAGAATCAAATCCATCTTGTACGTGTCATTGACAAGTCCCCTACAAGGTTCAAAATACCAGAGTATGATCCATAACTTCCAATGATCTATACGACAATCAGATTGAATAAAATTGTGCAACAGAAAACGGATAGGAAGAAAGCTTGAAAAGTATAAGTAAAAGATTCTGCTATTAGAAAGTAGAAAAATGAAAATCGAAATTGTTCAAGGATCTAACGGATCATTATGAGATCATGTTTGGAGCATATTTGACTAAGCTAGTAAAAGTTGCTTTCATACATTTCAGACGTGCTTTGTATTTTAGTTTCAAGTAAAAAATGTTATTTAGTAAATAAGTCTCCCTTTACTTCAAAATAAGTAACTTACTTATTTTCAACTTGGACCCATGAAAAAGTTATCATTTTAAAGCTTTTATACCCAAAAGTTTTACTTGGAAATGTTTTTAAGTTTAGACAAAAATGCTCTAATCCACAAGTCACTTGGCTTTCCAGCTTTAACTACTAAAAAGGAGCCAAAACTACAAGAATTATTTATACTTCTACATTAGCATATCTAGGGAACATAATAGACTCATCAGCTAGTTATCCATGCCTAAGTTGGGAAGCAGAATTGGAATGAGTTTGGTACCAAGTTAATTGTGTTGCGTCATTCATCCCAGCATCCTGAAGCAACCTAATAATTGGAAGTTGCTGTTAGAAAAAATAAGCAGCAAAAAAAAGATTAAAAAATGAAGGGAAATTAAATGAGATATATATCATTGTTTTATTCAAAGTATGTGAATGCCCATATTCTTTTGGAAAGCAACTTATAAAATTGAATTGTCAAAAAAGATTGAAAATTTTGTTTGAAATCGGATTCTTATAATTACACATATATGTTATTTTAGCTATCGGAGAATGCAAGGAATAATACGAATGAGCAGTGAGATGTTCACTCTGGAAGAAATTGAAATGTGTACCAACAAATTGACTTCATTGTATGTCATGTTTACAAAAAACAATGAAAATATGAGTGTATATCATTTTTACTAAAAACAATGAAAATATGAAATGGTCCCATTTCTTCAATAGCCTTATAGAATACAATTCACATTTGAAGATATACTTACTCGGACAGTGCACGGTAAGGATGGAAAACAACTAAATAATAGTTGAGGGCTTCCAAAATTTTCATTTCCATTTCGAGTATCTCCTTTATTTCAAACCTATACTTCTCATCGGAATCTGCAAAAGTAAAATGGCGACTCTAGCCACTTATCATGGAGCCCAGATAACATATCATATCAGAAGAAGAAAACAAAAGACATTCATCGCAGGTGGTTTATAGAGGATAAAAGTATGAGCAATTACATAGTTTTTTGATGTAAAATACAAGAAGCCGGGCCTGCACTGTGCTTTCTTCTGCTTTTGAAGCCAGGTACAAGCAAGACGGAGCAACCAGACGAGGATCATATTCAGTCATACTTCTTCTGAAATAAGATAATAGATAATGCTCAAAGGTGCAAGCATTAGAAGATGTGTAATGACACCAGTGCCATATACAAAACAAGATCATTCTAAAAGTTTGACCCTGACAACAAAACTATATGGAAGAATCAATTTTATATATTAGAATTGACGATACAAATATGAAAAGGAAAATTCAGCAGTTTCAAACTTCTCAAAGAAATTTATCTGCTGGTGCATTAACAAAATGTGCAACCACTTTTTGACCCTCGAAAAAGGATACTGGTGCTTCCTGAAAACATGTTTCTAGTAATATTCAACTTGAGTATATACCTTCCTTCATTGACATAATGTTTGCTTAAAATATAAGAAAATGCAAGGAAATTTCAAGCAAAAATATAGATCACTAATACTGCAGATTTTATTATCATTTAAGGAACAGTGATAACACACCTGACATAAACACGTCTCATGTAGGTAATGGCAGTAGCAACAACCCTGGAAATTAATCAACATAAAGGGATCATCAAAAAAGATTATGGAAGTGGAAAAATAAATGTTTATTATGCATAAATTATCCTACTGATGGGTGTCATTACGGACACCAATTGTATTTTCAAACATTGCATTATGCATAAATCATCCTACTGATTGGTGTCAGTACTTGAGAAATATGTTTAATCATTGAGTTTATAACAAATCTTGAAACACTTTGCATGTATTTTCAAACATTGTAGAAATACCAATTAGTTACAAACCAACTCAGGTAAACTGCAGTGTGCTGGTGTTTACTACCATTTTGCATTTACATGAATTCCAGAATGTCACGAATAGATAACACAATAGTCTGAGAGATTTATTTGAAGCACATCGTGCATCAGTAATACATTGAAACTTAAATGTGCAGCTCTTTCCCCTCTGAACAAGTAGAAGCACAACCAGATCATGGTCTCAATGCTCCATCCTACTTATCTGATTTTTGTGAGATCCCCAGTATTTAATTATTTATGATGGCTTCCAATTGCAGGGGATAAAGATGACAGTACAACTAATGGAGACAAAACCTTGGATGCCAGGAGTAAGAGAGGAGCGTGATCAAGAGAAAGATACTATACTTTTGGCAAAAAAATGTTGTAAACACAAGAAAATCAAACCTTTGCCTCACTTTTACATGTTGAGCCAATCTTGCTATATCTGACAAAGAATTGAAAATGCAAGAGTTAATGCATGCCATGGATGAATAGAAAGAATAGCAAAACCAATCAAGCGTGAAATCAGAGGTACATGTGTGTCTATATATGCAAGACAAATATAATCACACAAAAAATATTACTCTAAAATATGATTGAATTATAGAAAGTCAGAAATCGTGCAACAACAAATATAGAAAATAAATTAACAAAAAGGGGCATCCAAGATCCCACAAACAATGTGAAGTTTTTCAAAGACTCAATATAATTCAGAAAAAGCAAAACCCAAGAGAAACTCTAAAATCGACCCGTAAATATACGCATAAAGGGATTGAAGAGTGAAAGTTACAATTGGACATATGTAGCTTGATGAGCTTGAAATCTTCAAGAGTGATGCCCCTCTCCTTGTCTAGTGGATGCACCACATCCACCTCTTCTGGATCCAGAAGCTGTTTGCTAAATTATCACACACACAAAAAATAATAATAATAATAAAACAAAATCATTTGCAAAAAAATAATAATAATAAAACAAAATCATTCGCAAAAATGAAGAAAGGCTGCAACTTTCTCAACCCTATCCGATTGCATAGGAGAAAATAATTTAGTCCGATTACAAGTCTAGGCCTGTAACTGAACGAATTCGCCAGTGAAACAAAAGGGAAAATCCGTAGCCACCGAAAGCATACATATTCAAAAAGGGTTTCAATGATTCTTAGGTTGAAACTTACTAGTGAGAAGAAGTCCAGAAATTGGCAGCCATGGCAGCGCAGATGAAATCAACTTGATAATTGAGCTTACAAGTTTATAACTAATCTTGAGAACGGCAAATTGTTGCGGGTGTACTCGGCAAATGGACGTGGCACCACTTTCGAACTAAACTCGCACTTTCATATAGACATTCTAACTAACGCTTTTAATACCGCAAACATCAAAATGAATTATTTTCCACAATACATTCTCCCAATAAAATAATTTATACGTAAAATGAGAGAATGCATTTTTTTCAATCACACATTTTTCAAAAAATCAATATTTCAAAATTCATTAACCCAAAAAAAATGGAGCACAAATAAGGACTAAACATCGTTTTAAATGTCTATAATATCAAATTTCTCAAAATATTATATACCATGTTCTATTGCACTTGATTTCATAGGTAAAGGGTTTCTTATTCGTCCCTAATTTGCAATAATGATCGACATGGTAAATGGACAGACTATAACTCATTTTCGATCATACATTTTTCTAATAAAATAATTTTACACGTAAACTCAATTTTTTACATGAACATGAACTAGATATATTCTCAAATAACTTAGCCTCCCCATCTCTTAACATTGCAATATTTCAGATTAGATTGGTCGAGTTTAACAGCTATGCTTCCACGAGAATAAAGTTGGAGAATTGTGAAGTAGGAAATGGGGCCCATTTATCTTTTCCATTGAAATTATGTGTGTATTCAAGTTGCTCCTCTAAAAAGTTATACGTGTGGGAATCACACTCACTTTCAAGAGTAGATATGGATTGAAAGTTATCTATTAAGGACTTCTCACACGTCTTCTTGGTAATAAAATAGAAGAAAATTATGTCCTCTACATATAAAAAGAGTGAAGGCTTGTTTTACTGTAGAAACTATTTTCTTATCCTACCTTATCCTATAGACGACGCCGTTTTTCATTTTGGTATTTCCCCCCTCTCTCTTCATTCCGCCTTCAGTCCAATCCAGCCCCGTCTCTATTTTCTTCGAATCGAGCTCAAGCCTTCGAAAACCCTAGACGTTCGCCGCTTCCGCCGCTACGTTTGGTTTTGAAGCATAGACCTTCGCCGCTCCGTTTGGTAGGTTTGTCCCGTCTCTCTTCATTTCGACTTCAATTCAATCAAGCCCCGTCTCTGTTTTCTTCGAATCAAGCCTTCGAAAACCCTAGACGTTCGCCGCTTCCGCCGCTACGTTTGGTTTTGAAGCATAGACCTTCGCCGCTCCGTTTGGTAGGTTTATTTAGTTGTCATCTGTGTCCTTTCTTCGTCATCGATC